ATCTTCACTGAATTTTGCTCATATTCCTAGTTTGATATTTTACTTTAGGGAATTAATGTGACTCTGACTTTGATTAATTGTTTAATATGGAGTTTTGGTAGGGATATTTTTCTAGAGGCCCTCACCCTATTCTCCCTAAGCCCATAGTCTGTCTCAGAATCACTACTTGTCTTCTCTGTGTTCTATACTGCCTTCCCCGTATCCCACCCCCTACATCACGTGTACTGATCGTAATGGCCCATATTCCCCTTCCAACCCACTGTCCACAGTTCCTTTCCCTTTGGTAACTGTTAGTCCATTCTCGGGTTCTGTGAGTCAGCTGCTGTTTTGTGCCTTCAGTTTTTCATTTGTTCTTACGCTCCACAGATGAGTGAAATTTTTTGATACTTGTTCTCCACCTGGCTTACTTCACCGGGCATAATACCCTCTAGCCCCATCCATGTTGTTGCAAATCCTTCTTTCATTTCTTAAAGCTCTGAACTTTAATACAGTATGGGTTTAGCAGAATCCTTGGTAACATCACTTAAAATATCCCTACTTCAGGTGAAAATATCTTCTGTCTTTAAAGCATAGTACTATAATAGGTTTTGTTACTTTTTTTCTTTGGAACAATAAATTGTCTCATCCAAGCTCAAAGAGGTGTACCCTGGAAACCTCCTTGATGGATATAACTTGACTGATAAAGATGATTCGATTAAAAAGACTTGTGTTTTTGTTTGGTCCCAGTAGCTGAGTGATACAACAAAATTCAAAACTTAGCTGACACTAGATCCTTGATAAGTACATTTATTTGAAAAGGTGAACATTCAGGTTTTTAAAACGTTTGACTTTGGGTGTATATTTATGATGACTTAGCATAAAAGACTGAAGGATTTTTGTGGAGGTCAGAGAGAAAATAACTATTATTATGGTCAAAAGAGGTTTCTCATGTTCTCCAGGTTGGTAATTTTTCTAGACCCCAGTGAGCCTATACCTGAGGGCTCTGTATTATCCTTCCCAAAACTGGAATAAACAGTGATTATGTGCACCATGCACAGGCCCTTATCTGTGACCTGTGAAGTTCTTCTCTTACAGACTGAACAAAATGAGAGCACTGGGGGGGGGGGGTGTAGGTGGGCCGCTAAAGTGTTTGTTTTTAATTTATGGATGGTAGGATATTAACTTTGTGATTGAACTGCTTTGGTGAGAACTTAGCAAATAATCAGTACACCTGAATAGAGTTAAAAAGCTCTTGAAGCATTTTTATACTTTTCTTATTAGATTATGACAGTCCTAGAACAAAAATAGTGTAGCTACTCTTTCTGATGCAAATTTTCCAACTTTGGCCAATGAGGACCCTTTCAAATACTGGCAATTGACTCACTTTTCAGAAGCCCCTCTTCACAAAGTAAAGTTTTTTAGTCACTTCAAAAGGAGACTTTACATACAGTGCTGGATTAGAGCCACAGAATTATGTTGAAGGTCGGATCATACGTTATTCTGTAGGGTCAGTCATGTGACTTGTTTGGCTTTTAGCTGTGGAAGAGAAGGCATCCCAGTGCCTCACCCTTCTCCAGCCCTGCCTCATCCCGCTCGCAGACAGCAGAGAGGCCAGCAAAGAAACTAAGGTAATCTGTGATTTGCTGTGTGGATTAATGAGAGGGCAGGAAAAGAGGGAAATTTACTTGGCTCTCAGGCTTTCTGAGACTCCAATTTGGAGAATCAAAGCGGTTCACACCTAAGTGCAGAGACAGTGCCACCCTGAATCGCTCTCGTCTCTTGCAGTCATCACACAGTGACCACACCAGCCTCTGCTCCCCTTCATGCTGCAGTGTGAGGGTCTGGGGCATAAGGGGAAGGGCTTGCATGGAACAGAATGACTGATGGGAGTGGGCAGCAGGCTTCACATTCTAGACCCCAGCTGACCCTCTAGGTGACCGACTAGAATGCAACTTTCTTGAGATGGAGGTGTGACTAGGACTCTCAGAAACTTGGCAGGTTGTATGTAAGGTTCTGAAGATTGTTTTCTGCTTGTTTTAAGACAAAGGTGTCTCTGTGGCTTCTGTGAACTGCCTCCCTTCATTTCTTTAGGAATTTTCTTTGCTTCTTTTTGTTGTCTTGACACACTGAGATCTTAGTCATGGTTGTTCTAGACTTTGGTCAGTTGGTAGTTAGGAGGGTATAAGGAGTTATCCAGTACTTTTCTAAACTTAATTGTGCTTCCTCCTACAGAGAAGAGGAGCTTGCTTTCTTTTTTTTTTTTTAAGGAAACTACTCCTGATTCATGAATCAGAGAAGAGGACCTTTCTAATGATTCCAGGTACTCAGCTCCCTTGGTAAGAGACAAGCAGTCCCAGGAAGAACATGGTAAGTTGATGAACACGTGGCATGTGTTGGTGGTAGTGTGTATGGAGGGCACATGGACTACAACTCACTAGAAACACGTATTGAGCCTTGATTTGTGTGGGGCTTGGTAGTTACAGAGATAGACGTTCCTGTCATTCGGGCTTTATGGTCTGGTAATGGAGAAAGGTTGCCCAGACTCATATAGCATAACCCAGGCCATCTGGGAGGTTTGGGGTAAGGTAAGCCTAGGTGGGGGAATCTGAGCACTCCAGGCAATTTCTGTCCAGTAAGCAACCATGTGCACACATTTGGAGCAATTACCACTTCATGTCTTCTTGACTGTTAGAAATAATCTGGCCAACACCATTCAAGAGCCCAAGCCATGGAAGACAGAATCTCAGAGACACCTAGTGAAAGTTCAGTATTAAAAGTGAGGCTGCATAGACAAACCTCTCCATTTCTGGAAGAGAGGAGGAAGAAAGTAAGTCTGTTACTTTAGTTGCAGATACAACCATATGCAGGGAGCAGAACTCCTGGGATTCTCCAGCGACACCCAGCAGCTCACGGCCACGCAGACACAAGTCTCTCCTGGTGCCCTCCAGGTGAGGGATCCCGCTGATCTTGGTATGGTCTGTCCACCGGCCCCTGCCCACCCCAGCCTGGCTCCCCTGCATCTCAGGAATGGAAGGGTCAGTACAGGTTTCTTTCATTTCCATCTGACTGGCTTGGCTTCTCCTTTTTCTCTTGGTAGCCTCCAGCTCCCATGCTTGGCTACTCAATCACGACCAAAGATTTTCACCAGGAGAAGCAAGTTATGTTACAATGGCTGAACAGGGTCTTGGAGGATAAGACGGGTAAGGAATATAGGTTAATTACACACTCCAGAGATGGTATCCTTTGGTTATACTGGTCTTTCCCCTCTGAGAAATCCACTTCTTGGGTTCTCAGTGGAAACCAAGAACAGTGAGCATTGAGATTGAGAGGAAGCATTTCTACATGAGTTCTCCTGAGTCCCTGAGCCTCCCCGTGCTCTGTGATGCCCCTGGAAAGAATTCTCCTACAAGGGAGAACAATCCTTTCTTTCTTCCTTAGAAACTGCCTCGAACTCTGACAGTGTGAACCGACCTGCCACTCCACCTTCTAATCTCACCCTGCCTGCTGCTGGGACTGCTGCTTCCTCAGTCTCCCTCCCAGCCCCAAGTACTAACCTGCTGCTGGGGAGCTTGAAGAAGAAGCCAAACCCCCTGGGCCTACCATCTTTCCCAGGTGAGCGGGAGAGCTTTCTGTGGAGCACACAGTGCCATCAGCCTCTGCTTAGGCTAACATGAAAGCAGCATGCCTGTCAGTCGCTAAAAAGGTTGAACCTGCTCTGGTTTAGCACATCTGAGCTGGTGCAAGCCTGCTAGCTTCAGAACCCTCTCATCAGGAGCAGATTGTAGGGAAGGGGCTGCCATCCTTAGAACTGGAGAAGGCAGCCTCATTCTGGTAGTCAGACAGCTGTTGGTTTGCAGCCCCATTCCTTAGCTGCTCTGAGCAGTGCTTGAGTTCAGATTATTGGATTTTCCTCAGTGTCCACACATTTAACCCCTGCTAGGCCGTTTTATCCCCTGCTGTCTGTCTGATAATCTGTGAAGGGTAGAAATAAGGAGCCCTTCTATGATTTGGGGGAATGAATACATTAAGAACCTGTGGTAGAGATGAGTCATATTTGTTGACTCCTGAATCCCTGGCACAGCAAGGCTTCTAGAGCACCAAATACCATCACATTTGAGGCACTAGAATTCCCTTTTTCTGTTCCTCTTCCAAGAATCTGCTGGAGTGGCAGCCACCACGGCCTGTTTGTCCCTTAAGACACCTGGCTTTCTGGGCCCTCTTGGCTCTTCACAGCCAGGGCCCCTCCCAGGCCCTTCTCAGACTTCAGATCCACAGCCACTTTCTCAGGGCTGACCCCTGCCTCTCCTGCAATACCAGCCACTGATGCCACCAAGTCACCTCCAGGCCCTCAGGCTGCGACATCTGCCAAACACCAGGCCCCGCCTGCTACACGCCCCACCCTGAAGCCCAGTGTTCTGTTTGGCATGCTGAGGAGCCTATTAATCAATGACGCTGCCTTAGCAGCTCCTGCTGTGTTTTCACACATCCCATATTCAAGCTCATCTTTGTGGCTCCACCTAAATGTCAGAATGAGGTGTCCAGTGCCATCCAGCCATTCCCATGTCACAACAGTGGTATCTTCCAGCTCTTCCCCCACCCCGACTACCAGCAGCCTGCCCCCCACTTTCAGTCCTGTCTTTACCAGTACAGGGCTACCTACATTTTTGCCCTTCTCAACTCCTTTCTCCTTCAGTCAGACTACTTCAGGCAATAGCACGAATGCCCCACTGTTCCCCAGCCAGGCCAGTGTCAGTGTCCGCTCAGCAGCGGCTTGGGGGACGACCACAAGCACAGCCGCAGACTCCACCTGGAAGCCTGTCTTCGGCTTTGGTGTGAGCAGTGTAACCAGCACTGTGAGCAGCATGACCAACTCCACTGCTTCCACTGCCCAGCCTGTCCTCTTCAGGTCCCCCCTTGCCTCTGGTGCCAGCTCTGCCCAGCCATGGAGTCCATACTCCAGTATGACAAGGCGCCGGCCACACCTGCTCCAACAACAGCCATCACCTTCGGCCAGTCCCTACCTGGCACTGTCCAGACAGCTGTAATAAAATGGAAAGGTAAAGAAAAACTTCAATCATATCTACATAAATTTAGCATTTCACTTATTTCCAAATCTCTAAATATATGAAAATTCCCTTACAAAAACTAATCACATGTCTCTTAAGTATGAAGATACCAGGTGATAAAAATCATTATGAAACTACGGCATCAAATTCTGGAATATCAGTTAATGAACAAAATATACTACTTTCCACATTAATTGTAATTTAATCATAAAATATATCATTATATTCATGTTTTCTATTCTTGGGGTACCTCCAATATTTAAGAATGAATGGGAGTGGAATAAATTCCATTTATAGCCTATTAACTTTTGAGGACATCTCTGTTCCCAGGAGAAAGATACTATTTCATACTCTACAATCTTCACATATGAGTAATTATAAAAAGATAAAGCACAGGACATCCTATTAAAACTTAAGTACAGAGTGTAGTTAACACACCATCCTCAGCCTTCAATATCACACATTCACTCTCAAAGATCATTTGCAATCCCTCAAAATGTTTTACCTACCAGGGATACAGGATGGTACATTTGAAAATCCATCAACATCATCCACCACATAAACAAAAAAACAAAAAAAAGCATCGCCATAGATGCTGATGCTGAAAAAGCATTCGACAAAGTTCAACATCCATTCATGATAAAAACTCTCAACAAAATGGGTATAGAGGGCAAGTACCTCAACATAATAAAGGCCATATACGACAAACCCACAGCCAACATCATACTTAACAGTTAGAAGCTGAAAGTTTTTCCTTTAATATCAGGAACAAAACAAGGATGCCCACTCTCCCCACTTTTATTCAACATAATACTGGAGGTCCTACCCACGGCACTCAGACAAAACAAAGAAATAAAAGGGATCCAAGGAGCCAAGATGGTTGCATGAGTAAAGCAGTAGAAATCTCCTCCCAAAACCATATATATTTTTGAAAATACAACAAATACAATTATTCCTAAGAGACCAGAACATACAGTACAAAAGCCAGACTATATCTACACTGTGAGACCCCAGCGCATCATGAAGGGGGTAAGACACAAGCCGCAGCCCGGCAGGATCTGAGCACATCCCCCACCTCGGCACCGAAGCAGGAGGAGAGGAGTCAGAGCGGGGAGGGTGAGGGAGCCGAGGACTGCTGAATACCGAGCTATAGCCATCCGCACCGGGAGTGCGGACACAGAGTATGTGGTGTGCTCGGTACTAGGGAGATGGGACAGTAAAATCTGCGACCAGGTCTCCATAGCCGGCACACATGGGACAAAAGAAAAGCGAGTGCTTTTTGAAAGTCTTAAATAGACAGGGGCCTCACAGCTGCACACAACTGTCCCAGTGCACTCAGCCTAGCAGCTGGGAATCCCAGGGAACTCTGGGCGCCCTAAGCCCCTGGGTGGCAGCACAGCTTGGAAGCCCCTCACAGTGATAAACAGCCTGCCGCCCGTTCGCCCTCCAGCACGGCCCCGCCATAGTGAAGCAGTGGCCTGATGCCGGCCACGCCCACAGCAACTGCACAAAGCTCCCTCCACAGGGCAGAGTCAAGAATCAGAGACGCCGTCTGCGCACAGCTGCCCAGCACAAGCCACTAGGGGTAGCTGTTCTGACAGGAGAGAAAGGCCATAAACTAGCAAGAAGAGATGTTCTCCCAGCCAACACACATGCCAGCTCCCCACAACTACCTCTATCACCATGAAAAGGCAGAATTTGATCCAGACCAAAATAACAGAGAAGGAGATTGGGCAGGTAGACCTAACCAATCTTCCTGAAAAAGAATTCAAAATAAAGGTCATAACCATGCTGATGGAGCTGCAGAGAAAAATTCAAGAGCTAACTGACAAAGTAGGGAGGGAGACTACAGAAATAAAATAATCTCTGGAAGGACTTGAAAGCAGAATGGACGAGATGCAAGAGGCCGTTAATGGAATAGAAACCAGAGAACAGGAATGCACAGAAGCTGACGCAGAGAGAGATAAAAAGATCTCCAGAAATGAAACAATATTAAGAGAACTGTGTGATGAATGCAAAAGGAACAATATTCGCATTACAGGGGTACCAGAAGACGAAGAAAGAGAAAAAGGGATAGAAAGTGTATTTGAAGAAATAATTGCTGAAAACTTCCCCAAATTGGGGGAGGAAATAGTCACTCAGACCACGGAAGCACACAGAACTCCCAACAGAAGGGACTCAAGGAGGACATCACTATGACACATAATAATGAAAATGGCAAAGATCAAGGACAAGGACAGAGTTTTAAAGGCAGCTAGAGAGAGGAAAAATGTCACGTACAAACGAAAACCCATCAGGCTATCATCAGACTTCTCAACAGAAACCTTACAGGCCAGAAGAGAATGGTATGATATATTTAATGCAATGAAACAGAAGGGCCTTGAACCAAGAATACTGTATCCAGCATGATTATGATTTAAATATGAAGGAGGGATTACACAATTCCCAGACAAGCAAAAGTTGAGGGAATTTGTCTCATACAAACCACCTCTACAGGGTATTTTAGAGGGACTGCTCTAAATGGGAGCACTCCTAATACTAAGTAGATGTCACCAGAGAAAATGAAACCACAGTAAAAAAAGCAGACCAATCAAATATTAAAGGTAAAAAATAAACTACCCACAAAAGTATTCAAAGGAAACACAAAAGAGCACAGAATATAACACCCAACATATAAAGAATGAAGGAGGAGGAATAAGAAGGGAGAGAAATAAAAAAATATAAGTTTTCATAATAACTCAATAAGTGAGTTAAGTTAAGCAGTAAGATAGTAAAGAAGCGAACCTTGAACCTCTGGTAACCACAAATCTAAAGCCTGCAATGGCAATAAATACATACCTTTCAATAATCACCCCAAATGTAAATGGACTTAATGCACCAATCAAAAGACACAGAGTAATAGAATGGATAAAAAAAGCAAGACCATCTATATGCTGCTTACAAGAGACTCACCTCAAACCCAAAGACATGTACAGATTAAAAGTCAAGGGATGGAAAAGATATTACATGCAAACAACAAGGAGAAAAAAGCAGGTGTTGCAGTACTAGTATCAGACAAAATATACTTCAAAACAAAGAAAGTAACAAGAGATATAGGACAACATTACTAATGATAAAGGGCTCAGTCCAACAAGAGGATATAACCAATATAAATATATATGCACCCAATACAGGAGCACCAGCATATGTGAAACAAATACTAACAGAATTAAAGGAGGAAATAGAATGCAATGCAATCATTTTAGGAGACTTCAACACACCACTCACTCCAAAGGATAGACCCACCAGACAGAAAATAAGTAAGGACACAGAGGCACTGAACAACACACTAGAACAGATGGACCTAACAGACATCTATAGAACTCTACATCCAAAAGCAACAAGATACACATCCTTCTCAAGTGCACATGGAACATTCTTCAGAATAGACCACATACTAGACCACAAAGACAGCCTCAGTAAATTCCAAATGACTGAAATTCTACCAACCAACTTTTCAGACCACTAAGATATAAAACTAGAAATAAATTGTACAAAGAAAGCAAAAAGGCTCACAAACTCATGGAGGTTTAAAAACATGCTCTTAAATAATCAACGGATCAATGAACAAATTAAAATACAGATCAAGCAATATACAGAAACAAATGACAACAACAACACAAAGCCCCAACTTCTGTGGGATGTAGCAAAAGCAGTCTTAAGAGGAAAGTATACAGCAATCCAGGCATATTTAAAGAAGGAAGAATAACCCCAAATGAATAGTTTAAAGTCACAATTATTTAAATTGGAAAAAGAACAAATGAGGCCTAAAATCAGAAGAAGGAGGGACATAATAAAGATTAGAGAAGAAATTAATAAAATTGAGAAGAATAAAACAATAGAAAAAAATTAATGAAACCAATGAAATCAATGAAACCGGTTCCTTGAAAAATTGAACAAAATAGATAAGCCTCTAGTCAGACTTACTAACAGAAAGAGTATCACACATCAACAGAATCAGAAATAAGAAAGGAATAATCATGACAGACCCCACAGAAATAAAAAGAATTATTAGAGAATATTACATAAACCTATATGCTAACAAGCTGGAAAACCTAGAAGAAGCATATAACTTCCTAGAAAAATACAACCTTCCAAGACTGACCAAGGAAGAAACAGAAAATCTAAACAGACAAATTACCAGCAACAATACTGAAGCATTAATCAATAAACTACCCAAGAACAAAATCCCCGGGCCAGATGGATTTACCTTGGAATTTTATCAGACGTACAGAGAAGACATAATACCCATTCTCCTTAAAGTTTTCCAAAAAATAGAAGAGGAGGGAATGCTCCCAAACTCATTCTGTGAAGCCACATCACCATAATACCAAAACCAGGCAACGACACTACTAAAAAAGAAAATTATAGACCAATATCCCTGATGAACAGAGATGCAAAAATACTCAACAAAATATTAGCAAAATGAATTCAAAAATACAACAAAAGGATCATACACCATGACCAAACGGGATTCATTCCAGGGATGCAAGGATGGCACAATATTCGAAATTCCATCAACATCATCCACCACATCAAGAAAAAGGACAAAAACCATATGATCATTTCCATAGATGCCGAAAAAGCATTTGACAAAATTCAACATCCATTCATGATAAAAACTCTCAAAAAAATGGGTATAGAGGGCAAGTAGCTGAACATAATAAAGCCACATGTGACAAACCCACAGCCAACATTATACATAACGGCAAAAAGCTGTTAAGTTTTTCCTTTAAGATGGGGAGCAAGACAAGGATGCCCACTCTCCCCACTTTTATTCAACACAGTTATGGAAGTCTCGCCACGGCAATCAAATAACACAAAGAAATAATAGGCATCCAGATTGGTAAAGAAGTTAAAACTGTCCCTGCTTGCAGATGACATGATATTGTACATTAAAAAACCTAAAGAATCCACTTCAAAACTACTAGATC